GGAGGAGGCCCCGGGGCAGACCCAGGACACGCTGGAGAGATTATATCTCTTGGCTGGCCTGGGAACGCCTTGGTGTTCCCCCGGATAAGCTGGAGGAGGTGGCTGGGGAGAGGGAGGTCTGGGCCTCTTTGCTTAGGCTGCTGCCCCCGCGACCCGGCCCCGTATAAAGCGGATGAAGATGGATGGATGGTTTAAATAGTAAACTATATATAATGTAAAATGTTGTCATGGTCCTGGGTCGGTGACCCAGCGCTTTTAGTTCGTTATCATTTTCTAGATGATGATTGTTTAGGTTCTGTGTTATATTCGGTCTGCCTCTGAGTCTGCGTCTGTATCTGTCTGTCTATGGTGTCACCCCATCTGTTTGTGAATCTGTCTGTTTAGTTCAATGTCTTGTCTGGTTCCATGTGTCTGAGTTTCCTGTTTTATTGTGAAGGTCTGTGTCGTATGTGAGTGTGTTCAGTTTTCCTCTGTCCCGTCAGCCCAGATTCCTCCCAGCTGTGTTGCCCTCCTGTCTCTCATCCCTTGATTACTGGTGTGTGTATTTAAGCCCTGTGTGTTCTCCTGCCTGTTGCCGGTTCGTCTGTGTTCCTCCGTGTCAGTCTGTGTTACTCGGTGTCCTGCTCGTCTCTCTGCCTCTCATCCCTTTTTGTATCTTCTCAGGTTTGTCATTTAGCTTTCCCAGTTCAGGTCTTTAGTTTTGTCTTCCCTCTTGCCGGTTTTGCCTTCTCACCACTGTGTAAATAAATCATCACCAAGCGTTATCATCTACTGCCTGCGTTTTGGGTCCTTTTTCCCTTCAATACCACACGGCTCGTCTCAGCACCCGTGACAAATGTATTATATTTGTACTGTTACAATGAAATGAAACTAGTCTCATGAACTACTAGCTTACTAGCTAAAGGTAGGCTCATTTTTTGTTAAAGGCACTCAGTGTTCTCTCAGATATTCTCTTGATGTTCTCTTAGATACATCACATGTAGATGAAACAAAACAATTTTCCCAGAGAAAGTCAAAGAAATGACATAAAATTAAGATTTTCTGTATTTCTGTTGAACATGCACTACAGCTGTAGCTGCTGCCATCATGGTTGCTAGGCAACAGGGAATGTGCAATGTAGGCTAGCCCATCCAGTTTAACAAGCCTTGCACTTCCGGTCTTCCTGGACTTTGAAGGACCTGACATACGTAGACTGGGTAGGCTGGGTCCTTCGAAGGATGCAGCCCCTGAATGTGGACACAGCCTTGGAGAAGGGAAGACAGACGGACCCTGACAGTTCTTTACCCACGAGGAATTTCAACAGTGTTTGACATGACAACCACGTGTGACTTTCCTTGGCCTTGGTGTCTCAATAGTTCAATCAGGTCATATTAACTTACTCTGTGAGGTCTAAGTCGTCATTAATATGGCCCAGACTCTATGTTAAGAAGAAAAGCAAAAAAGACACTTTGGAAAAACCTATTTTTAAAAATATATTTTGATAAAATTAAACATGGGACTATCATGGATGATGACTTAGAGCTCAGAGGGTTAATGAACACTGAAAACAGCCATTTTTTCAGTGTTCAAGAAATTTATTAAAGTGATCACAGCATCATCAATGCCCCCTACAAGGCCTGTATGCAAATTGTAGTGGATCAGTCGTTGAGATTTGTTATAGCTGCACATGGCAGGTATAATTCCTTCCTAGGTAACATTTGATAACATCAGTGTCACTGCCCAAAAGTTGATTCTATTCATCTGGATGATTTCAGTGGGAGAAATGTTTCGTCATCATCCAAGTAACTTCTTCAGTCTCAGCTGACTGCAGGTTTACCCAATCACTGGCCTGTAGGTGTAAATAGACTGCAGAGTCCTGGCCTGACGAGGTGGCTCTTCTGTGCTGTGCCATCCGCTTCACCAGAGGTTGTTTGGTTTCCCCGATGTATAAATCCTGGCAATCCTCCTGGCACTCACAGCATACACTATGTTACTCCGTTTGTGTCGGGGGACACGATCCTTTGTGGTGGACCAGTTTTTGGCGCAGCATGTTTTGGGGTTTAAAAGCCACAGAGACCTGGTGTTTAGGAAAAATGTGTCTCAGCTGCTCCGATACTCCTGACACATATGGGATTACTGCAGGTTTTTGCTTAGGCAGCGGTTGTCCTTCTCTCCTGGATCGGCTGGAGCTTTCTTTAGGAGCCTTCCCAGCTTTGACAAAAGTCCAGCTGGGATAACCACATTTACTCAGAGCCTTCTTGATGTTCTTCTACTTCTCTGGCTGCTGTGTCTGTGGGGATGGTGTTCGCTCTGTGTTGCAGCGTCCTGATGACGCCCAGTTTGTGCTCCAGTGGATGATGAGAGTCAAACCTTAGATACTGATCCGTATGTGTAGGTTTACCGTACACGTCAGCTTTTAAATGTCCCCCATTACTGATGGAAATCTCACAGTCTAAGAGGCTAACTATGGGCAGAACTTTGTGCCATCAGAAACTGAATTTGAATAAGTTACATTTGAATTTGAATTGCTCAACTTGAATGAAAGCTTCTAAAACTCAATTAGAATTAGTATAATTTGAAATCCAATGTATTGATTTGGAAATGATCATCTCTAAATTGAAACTGAATTTTATATTTTGAAAATTAATTAATTTGAAACTGTCCTTCTTTAATTTTAGCAATTGAATGCTTTCAGTTTCACTTCGCACCATTCAATTTCAGTGGTACAATTCAGTTTTTGGGGTCATACATCCGGGTCATTCGTGAAAGTAATCGAGTGCTGATTAACAGAACTATGTTGTGTCATGAACTGGCTGTGTGGAGGCAGAAGAGGACCCAAACGCAAAACTCATGGAGGCAGGAACTGAACTCAAAATCACTGCTTTTTTTGCAGGTTTCACAAGACAGAACTAATGGGAATACTACAGAAGACGAGGGACACAGAAAGACACAGGTTCGGGGAGGAGACATTGACGACGCGACATGACCTGAGGGAGACATGCACATAATACACAGGGGTTAACAGGGAAGTCGGAGCACACGGGGAACACAGCTGACACAGTAATCATAACGGACAGGGCGGAGTGAAACATGACACTACTGACCGAGGACTGTCAAAGTAAACAGGAAGTACCGGAGGTTCGACAGGAGGAGAGAGTACGGGGAGGACACAGGCATAACAGGCTGGGGAAAACATGGAATAAAACACAAGGAGAGACGAGGGTTCACAGATACACAGGGGCACACAGGAGGTAACCAATAGGAACATCTTAACTAATAACCTAGACAAGGCATATAGGGGAAAATACCAAACACCAAAACTAAGATCTGGGCCACTGGCAGGACCATGACATGTTGTACCTGCGGAGTGTCACTGAGTGGACCTACGGCATCTTGAGCTGAGGCGGGGTACAGATTAAGCATTCAGAAGTCATTCATCTTGTTATTATCTGTTATGCTTATTGTAGCTGTTACCTAAAAACACTAATTTAGCGTAGTTTGCCCTGGGTTCAGCTTTTACAAATGAATATGATCGACTGTTTCCAGCAGAATTCCACAGTTGTCATCGTGTACCCTCTCACAGCTCCGTATGCTTGCAGAGACCCCCACAGTAGGCAAATGTGAAAATGAATGCCCAAACCATTGTATTTTAGGGGTTTTTATGTCTTCCCAACTCTTTAGCTAACCTAATAACTTTAGCTAAAGTGAACAGTTAGTCTAATTCCTGAGTGCAGCATTACTGGATCACCTCTGTTAACAGACACTCAACCACACTTGTCATAATTTTTTGTATGTAATTTGTATAGTATTTTTTTCTCTCTTATTTCTTTTCTAAATGTACTTGTATATTGTTCACATGTTGAAATAAATTACCAATCAATCAATCAATCAATATTCCGTATGGTGTTCATGTAATTTTCTACCCAACAGTTCAGCAAAAAACACATGATGATTTCAAGCATGTGATGACAAAGGCCTTCCATTATGGTCTTTGTCATCACAAGTCTGGCTGATCATGTTTAGATGACTGGCCTTTTGATGCCATGACACCCCTGACCCATCAAGACAAGTCTCCACTAGCTCCCTGAAGGTGTGCTGTGTCATCTGGCAATAAGATGTTAGTATGATGTGGTGTGAAATAGATTTGTTTGTCCTGAACATCCCACAGATGGTCAACTGGACAAATCTTCAAACTCTTTTTGAACATTTTTGGTTCATGGCAGGGTGCATTATCCTGATGAAGGAGGCCACAGCCATCAGGGGATGCCATTTCCAATAAAGGGTATTCATGGGTGTGTTTTCTTTTAAGGGGTGTACTGCAACAGTGCTAAGGTAAGTGGGATGTTTCAAAGTAGCACGCACAGGACCCAAGGTAGCAGAACATTGCCCAAAACTGCACACTACCTCAGCTGGTTTGCCTTCTTCCCATAGTTCCCTGTCACTGGTGCACCACCGTTCCTTCATTGAATCACTTTTGATTGATAGTAACCACTTCAGACCAGAAACACCCCACAAGAACTGCATTTTCCAGTTTTTCTTGATGATCAGTGTCATTCCTTTCACCTTTCAGTAGTCATAGTGTTAGCTAAGTGTATGTTGGCCCGGTGCAAGCAATCATTGAAATATGTTTGGAAACTCATGACAGTAAGAACTGAGGCTGATAAAAGGTGCTTGGCTTAGTGTTTATATAGTATTTATAATAAAGTGCTTGCTAAGATCTAAATGGCTTAGGATTTTAGAGTGATGAGTTAAAAAAGTATTTTCAGTCTTTTTCCAAAGCTGCACATAAAGCACCAGTAAAGTTGTAACTCCAAATAACGTAAACAGACAGTAAGAAATGCAAAATATTTCCTGTAGTCCCGGAAACAGTGTGATGTGAACTCTTCTGGCAGTGAACAAAAAGGAAAAAATGAATGTCTGTTATCTGACGACTACAGGAAAGAGCACAGCCCACAGAAACCAAAAGGTTCAAATGACAGTTTCTAATGCAGTCTCTGTACAAAAGGAGAATCTGGTGAGAATCAGCTTAGTGTTTTTTTTTACAACGGGGAGAAGACAATGATACTTTCCAGCTTCAAAAGCTTCTTTATTTATTATTATTTGAGCTCCTTATTCTACCCAAGCAATGGTAAGACTTTCAGTTTCACCTTCTAAACTGTAGCAGTTTAATTTTAGTAATTAATTTTTCAACTTTAGTGATTAATGAGAACTGCTGGTCCAGTGAGTTAAAAAATGGCCACAGTAGAACACAAATATGGACTTGCATTTCTCATGGTCAGTGTGTTATGTTATTGAAAGGTACAGTAAATAAAACATTTACCCTTAGATGTCTCTCCACATGGACTCTAATGACAGAAAGAAAAAACAGAAAGTTTTAACCTTGTTTCTGAATTTCTTTTTACCAGGTTTTGAGGTGATCCAGCCACAGAATAAGACTAATAACCCAGATACAGTTTTCATCAGCTGTAACTTTACAGCAAACACTGGGATAATTGTAGATGTTCGACTCAACAAGGTTTTACCAGAGAAGTATGTCGAAGCATGTCTCTTGGTTTTAGTGAATTTGTGTTGTTTTTGAGATGACAAAAACAAGCTTTTCTCTTTCACTGCAGGATGTTGAGAAATTCTCGTACTACTTGTATGAACTCATGTTTGCTGACTGAAGTTCTCTTTATGTTTTTGATCAAATGTTTGTATGACAAAAAGGTGTCTGTATGAAGTCTGTAGCAGTTCTATGTTCAAAAATCTGCAGGTTTTCTTTTCCCATTTTCAAGAATTCTGCCTGCTGCAATTTTAACATTATTTCAATTAAAATAATTAGACTGGGTCATGCTAGCTGCATATCTAATATTTCTTTGTTTCCTTTCAGAAAGATGCTCTGCCAGACTGAATCTGAAGCCTGTCATAACATTATCGTACTTAAAGACGCTCCATTCAAGTACATTTTCATCTTACTCAATGCTGGGCCAGAGGCATGGACCTCAAAGTATGAATGTGAGTGGTCAGCAACAAATAAGGATGGGACGGACAAAACCGTGACAAGTGCAGCAAACAAATTAATTAAACTGCAACTACAAGGTATGTATATACAAAAAGTGATAAAAACAGAAATTGCATTTTATTTATTTATTAATTTTTGTCTGCAGAAGTGAAAGATTGAAATGACAAATGATGCAACAGAACGTCCACATTTTAGAGCATCAAATACTGTGATTCTGTCAGATGCTGTTAGAATAGTTGAGATTACAGTCTCCCTCCAAAGAGTAGTTTTCAGTTTGGAACAAGTCACAGTTGAGCTCTGCAGACAGCTTGTTCTGTTCATCAGAGCTGTGTTTTGCACTTCATTGCATACTTATCTGCTGGCTAGTTTTTGTTATGGGGGAGGGCAAAGTTCGGTTTCAGCCTAACTGGTTGTGGTCTCTCTGTGCGTATTGGCCATCATTAAAAAAAACATAAAACACGTTCTTTCACAAATTTTCACAAATATTAAAACAGTAAGATGAAGGAAACATGTCCGAACACGAAATCATTTTAACAAATAACCTTTTGGCAGGCTGCTGGGAACCACACGGGAAGAGTGACTTGAGCAGGTCCTAGACAACATATGCACAAGGGTGATGAGGGGAGACAGCTGTCAACGCAGCAGGGACACATAAACATAGTGCACATAGACTATCAAAATAAGACAGGAAACGCGCCAAAAAGTATAAGCACAGTAAGTCCTGCTGTGCAATTCAAAGGTACAGACTAAAAGTTTTGATTTGGAGGTGGTAAAATTAGGAACTATGTGTTGTTAAAGTTGCAAATACAAACCCACGATCCTACTAAATCAAAGTTAAGACTTGAGACTTTTTTAGCAACAGAATCATAATGTCAGCAAAGACACTGTGACTCAACCTCCCTTGTGTCCAAGTTGCAAAGTCCGTGTGGTCTTTTAGCCCAAACCACACAAATTTTGCGATAAAAAGCCCAGGGTATCCTCTTTACTGTGCAGTAGGACTCATAGATTGCATAGCTGGTGCTTGATGTAGACGTCTCACATTTACGTCCCCCACACGGGACAAAAATGCATTGCTGTGTCTTAGAAGGATATGCAGGTAAACTCTGTTAGCACTGTATCAACACAGACACTCAGAATCTTCAATCAGAATGATGAAAATGGTAAATCGACGGGTTCTTTTTCTGCTCTGAGCACTCAGAGTGATTCTACAGCATGCCTCATTCACTATTTCACACAAGCATTGTTTTCTAACATTTGCACATTTTGATGCATCTTGGGGTAAATGTCTTACCTGAGGATATTTGGCATACAGACTGCAGTAGCCAGGGTTGAACCATCAACATTCTCATTAGTAGATGGTCTGCAGTGCATGTGTGGGTTAGGGGTGTGTTGTTAAACTTGTTAAACGTTTTTTTGTTCAACCATGTCCTGGCAATCAGGGCAAAATGTAGCTCTGTTTGATATGCATTAAAAACCATTTCAGTTTAGCACATGGTTAAGGCTGTGATGAGTGTTATCGCTGAGGACAAATTAGACCTCAGAGGGTTAATTGTCCAAGAGATTGCTCCTTACAGTTACCACTTTGTAAAGAAACTATCACAGAAATACTGCAAGGCTTTGAAACCTGTTGTTGACTCTTAAAATTAAAAATAAAAAAATAATAATTTCTGTGCAGGCTAGGATTTTTTTTCACCTCAGAGATTTTAGTCTGTATATTCAGTGGTTTAAGCAGACAGAATCTTTTAACAGTATCTAAATCAAAGTTTGACTTCCTTGCATTGCTGGTCAGATCTGATCAAACTACGCCCACGCTACTGACGAAGCTGGCTGGATACTCTGTGCTGCTAAATGTGTAAAACAGTCTTTACAACAAAACCTAATAATGCATGTTTCTGAACGTGAAACTGGCTGCTGTTCATGTCGTTGTGTTTAGTGACGTCAGTCAAACCACTGAAGTACAAACAGGAAGTAACCACTGTTTTTATTAGGTCATCTGGAAACCACACCACAGTGTACTCCTCCCCCTTCACCTCCTCCCCCTCAGTCCCATCAGCTCATGTGGATTTTGATTGGTCTGCTGGCCCTGATGTTTGTGTACAGCTGTATCATCACCTCCTTCTACATGAGGCTTATGGTGACTATCTGTCAGAATTACTATTTTTCTGAGGCTGTAATTTACGATATATGTCTTTATATGTCTTAGTGTGTTTTTTATCAGATGTTTGTTATCATCTTGCCCGGACGCAACGTTAAAAGGTCCACAAAGCAGCTGAAAGCAGCTTTTACGATGGTCAGCCAGGTAATGGATGAAGGGAGATGTTTTGCTAGAGATTTTTACACAGCCGTAGTTCATTTTCTAAATGAGAAAGAATTCAGGTTTAAACTTTTATATAAGGTCTATGATATGACCACAGCTTTCACTGTTGTTGAGGGCTTGGGGAGCTTCTTTTGATCGTTGTTATTTTGAGACTTTCTTAGTCTGAAATCATATTTGTTTGTTTTTCCAATTACAATTTAAAATGATTTTTGTTTCCAACTCAGTGTAAGCTGTTTATAAGCTGCTTTGAAATTCTGCTTTTTTTTTACACTCACAGCAGACGATACAAAGCCATAAAATAATTGTTCAGATCATAACAACACACAGTGGATGTTCTGTGTCAACCTCAAGAGTCCTTTGAAATGAAACATCAAACTGACCCACACAGATTTTTATTGACATCAGACATTGTTACAGTTAGACACACACAAGTTAAATTTATAATGTTTCCTAATAAGCTGACTGTAAATATGAAATGCACAAAAGCAGGACGTCCCCAAAACCGAATGCAGTTTTAATGCATCATTTTCTGCTATGAGACTGTAAAACGCCTGCTGAGCAATAGGCTCCAGCCCTTGTAACATAACTAATGTGAAATTAGTCTATAAGGTGTTCTTTAGAGTTAAAAGACTTTCAAATTCTTACTGCTTTTCTTTCTTACATAAATTCCATCAATTTTGAGAAGCGTCCCGACACCACTGTTGAAATGTGGCCCCAAACCATCACGCTGTGTTTTACAGTTGGCTGTATACACTCACTAATCCACCTCTTTCCTGACCTCCTCTCTATATCTTGATGCCAATGTGCTGCTGATTTTCACTCTACTTCTTGAAAAATTTGGCACACACCAGCCTTTTTCTCCCTGTTTTCTCTGATCCCAAAGAATCACTGTCCATGTTTGCAAATTTTGCTTCATCTGACCACAGAAGAGTTTTCCACTCGACGATGCCGACCGGAGGATTGTGACTTTGATCCTTTGTCCCTCGAGCATAAAGATTTCTCCTGATTCTTGGAAACTTTTAATGTTATGTACTGTAGAAAGTTATTCTATTTTACATTGAAGACCATTGTTCTGGAATTGTTTCACAATTTGTAGACAGGTTTTTCAAAGTGAGTTTACAGACAGTTAATAAGATACTGAAAGACATCCATAAAAACTGTCCTGCCTTTGTGCCGTGCCTGAACACCCAGTTTTAACAGCAGTATTATCATTAAATACATTTAACAGAATAAAGCTATCAAAAGAATGAGGCCGAAATGTCTGCATCTCCTCTGCACTTAATGTTACTAAACTAATTACTTGAAAAGAAATCCTGCTGTAGGTGATGTGTCACTTTTGTGTTTTTTTTTTTGTTTCAGAACAGCAGCAAAGATTGCGAAAACTCCACCTATGTTGAAATGAGGAACGTTCCAGTTCAGCTGCATCCTCACCACATTTACAATACTATGCAAAAGGCTTGAGCTGCCCCTCATTTCTTTATATCTTATTAGGAAAATGGGTAATAGGTTCAACAATGTCTTAAAACATGTAAAAATACATGGAAATACAGTATCTGCAGTAAATACAACTGTGTGCACACATGCATAAACAGAGTCTTCACAATTCTAAGGAACTTTAAATATTTCATATGACCAAACTTATTCTTCTACATAGCCTGAGGGGGGGGGGGGGGGGGGGGGCTGGCTGCCTTTATTCCATTTTCCATGAAGCTGGTGTTGAGGCCCAGACCATGACTAACAGTTTTCTACCCAGATATGCTTTTTTTCTCAATCCATACGACCTGTTGACACTGACTGAATAGACTGTAAAGTCGGCATTGATTAAAGTATAACTTTGAAAGAGCTTTAGAAACCTTAGAGAGCTGCTGATCATGACCAGTTTAAAATGTTACAAGAAAGTTCAGCTCCTTAGAAGCAAAATATAAAGAAATGAGGGTCGCTCAAGACTTTTGCACAGTACTGTAGCTCACTCATCTGTCTTCAGTATCTTCAAAAAGAAGACGTGAACAGCTCATATTGTGCTCTCAACATTTTGTTCTTCAGTATTTGACAGTTCATTAAGTTGTATTGTGCAATAGCAGAAAACCTGTGTACTACTGAAGTAAAGAGGGGGGTGAACTCACCTCTTAAAGGCACATGGTTTTATTGACCTATAATATGATCCATTAGTTTAATCTTTTTAAAGTCTTACTTTATTAAAACAATGTCAGCTATTGATTTGATGTAATTCCTCAAAATAGTAAGTGTGGATTGTACATGTAGCATCGTGGTTGGATTTTGTCTCTGACATGTTGAAACCTCATGATTCTTCCCTGCTCTTAGGTCTTCAGGTCAGAGGTCACGGTTGGTCCTACGTACCAAACTTGTGGGGATCCGGCTTTTCACGCACCAAAGCTGTGGTATTCTCTTCCATTGTCTTTACGCCGTGCAGACCCCACTGACTCTTTCAAAAAGCAGCTGAAGACATTTCTATACAAACAAGTTTTTAACTAATTTTCTCATTGTTTTGTTTTATTTATATTTCTGGTTTTATTGTGAAGCACTTTGTGATTTTTATCAGTAAAAAGTGCTATAAATGCATCTTTCTTACTTACTTTTCTAAATCTGCCTTAATCTTGTATTCAAATTACAATATTTTATACTATGTTTTGTGTAGTTTCCACGTGCTTCAGTGTTTCTGCACACGCACACAACAATGGTACAATTTCTAATTATTGCGGTACATGCCTTATTGCTAATAATATTATATTTTTATAAATATACCTCAAGCTCCCCATTAGTGGCCAGTTTGGTTTCTGTCTCATCGCTTGTATCATTTTATGATATACATCGTTGAGGGTGGGGGATACCTACTTATCCTAGTTTACACATTTCAAGCTGGAGAAAACGGTGTGCCCATCAGCAGCCACAGAATCGGTTCAATATCCTTTACTAAGGATAAATGTAATTGTAACCTCTTAGTTAATCTGAACGATAACCTGTTGTTTTGCTGGAGGGGAACAGAAAATCATTGCATTTGTCATCACATGTAGCAAATATCATACCTTGACTTTTGAATGGCCTGTTGTCTTTATGTGTCTTTTATTTCAAAATAGATTTGTATGGTTTCTTTTAATCAATAAAAATTAAATCCAAAAACCTCTGCAGAGTGATCCTTCCTAACCATCACTCCATCTATTTTCTTAGATATTTTTCCAGCTAAAGTTGAATGGGACATGCACCCATTTCAGCTGACCTTCTTTCCATTCTTCACTGAAAGCTCAAATGTCTCCCATAGATGTTCAGCTCAGTTTCATCTGAGGGCTGTAAAGGCCTTACTCATACACATTATTTTCACCTTCAGTAAAAATAGGATACATACAATGTCATCCTAAAATAGGCCACTGGTATCAGGAGAGAAATGAGTGGTCCTTCCCTCTATAGAGTGAGGTGGATTCCCAGAATTTCGGGTACAAAGCATAATTTTTCAAAAGTAGTCATTTGATCCCCAATCTGCAAATCCATACTGAGAGAAAGAATGACACAAGAGGGACACTATTGCAGTCTCAAGTTCATTCATACTGATTCAAGGTCGCCACTGCCTGATCCTTTCTCACAATATGTTGGACTATTGGCAGACTTTGGCAAACTAACTATTTTATCCTACACCAGTGGTTCTCAAATTGTGGCTCCCTCTAGTCATTAAAGATGAAATAATTTGTGCTGTATTAACAGAATGCTAGCACTTTCTTTGCAAAGCATTACTACCCTTCCTGTTGTGTTTGTGTCAAAACTGAATTATGATATCTTCCACACTATGCACTCTAACATATAAAAGTGATGAGCACCTCTTGTTACATATGTGGTTTTCTTAGTCAAAATTGACCACCATAGGAAATGAATGGGAATCCCCACCCACACACACACACTGACTGACTGAATGACCCACTGAACTACAACAGAAAACAGCAGTAACGTTTGTAGAGTTGCTGAAGTTGGGCTAGCTGGTATATAATGATGTGCTACATGATTGCTAGCGACATAGCTATGTTAGCATAAACACAGTGAAGCTGGAGGATGAACACCAACTTTTTTCCACTGGATAAAAGTTAACGTGAGGGTTCCCGATGGTTAGAGACAAATGTAATCGCATGGCAGGATGCTGTAAACGGACCAAACTCCAGTCAGGAGAACAACTGAGATAATCCATCCACAACACGAGGTTAGTCATTCATATACTGCTGCATGGGCTGTAGCTACATCAGAAGGGTTTAAAAACTGAGCTGTAAAATGAACAGAGTTAATAAAATCTCAGAGAGGCAGACAGTGATCACTGACTGTTTTTAGGGGCTTGTTCAGATTAAATAGAACAAGATACAAAACATTAAAACATGTTTAAAAGACAACAGCCTTATTAAAGCCTGTTCACACGTCATCACTTGAAGACCGGATGTCCCACCTGCTGTGACTGTTTTCATGCAGCACAGCTGTTGTTATTATCAGTTGTCACATCCTGTTTATGACAGTTAAATAAATAACATTCATATAAGAAAGAAAATTGTCTCTTGTAAACTGTATGTGGTTTTAAAGAGGCCTATACTACTGTACTTTAATGGAGGTCATAAGGGTGGTACTTCAAGAGCCATTTATTTTATGAGGTGGTACTCATTGTGAAAAGTTTGAGAACCACTGGCCAACACAAAACGATACTATTTTTCATGCAACTTTTTCAATGACACAAAATTATTACTTCAGTTTGGCGAGACTTTTCATAAATATTCACCCTGTAATGGATCGTGTATAGATTCCAGTAAAAAAAACTAAAAAATGAATCAAATAGTAAATGATTCATTTTTTAGTTAGGGTTAGGGGTTAGGGTTAGTCCCTTCACTAGTCCCTAAGGACCCCAAAGCGCTTTACATATCCAGTCATTCACACATTCACACACTGGTGATGGCAGCTACATTGTAGCCACAGCCACCCTGGGGCGCACTGACAGAGGGGAGGCTGCCGGACACTGGCGCCACCGGGACCTCTGACCACCACCAGTAGGCAACGGGTGAAGTGTCTTGCCCAAGGACACAACGACCGAGACTGTCCAAACTTCCGATTACAAGATGAACTGCCAACTCTTGAGCCACGATCCATAATATAAGCAAGTAAAATTTCTAGTTTATACATTTTCGTTTTTCTCTTGTGTTTCGTCATTCTTTCATTCTCTGGAAAGTGTTTTTTCTCTGTCTTTTCCATGGAAATACAGCAACTGTACATTTAGCTACCAAAGCATAATGTGTTACAAACTGCTTAGAAGAAAAAAGACTTTATGTTTGGCAATATTTGTTTAGCTGATTGAATTTATGCACCTAAAATTACCTGCTACATAAGAAGAGATAATCTGTTTATGCTCACTCCTCCTCGGTAGCACTAGAGAGATACTTATGAACCACAAACCCAACTTCGAGATCCTCACCATGAACACATCACAGAAATGAGTACAAAAACAGGATGTGTTGAGGGTGTAAGTGGGGCTGTTGGATGTCATTGTTTTCTTATTACTGAGTATCTCCATGCTGTCACCTGGAAGCAATATTAGGCAGCATGTGTCCACCTGCCTGTCAGATTGAATTTCTTAATTGGTTTAACCTCGGCTGAAGTGTTTTCAAAGTGGACTTTTTTATCTATTCACATAGTGCATGACTATCGTGGATGACAAAACTACACCTTATGTACAAATTAGTTGTCACAAGATATTCACACCTAGTGTCGGTCTGGTATATCGTTTGTGTTACTGAGGCAGCATGCTCATGTTTCAACCTTTAATTCTTTTGGTGTCATACACTTTGAACAGGGTGAAGTCATGTATTGAACTGACTTGCGGGTCCATTATTCTATTTTGCTTTTGCTAAATAGTTGTGGAAAGTTAACGTTTCCATTGTCAGTCAGCTCCTGCTGTGCAGGTCAGTGTGGTGAAAGACTGTCTTATCACTTGTGAACAAAATTGTCACGACTGGGGGCAGCAGCCGTGTGACGTGTGGAAGGAGGACTCAAATGCAGCACTTATTAGGATGTGAGGGTGATTTATTAAGAATACCGAACATAAAGTGGGGATGGCAAAACAGAACTAAGGATGAACTAAACTGGGAGAAACTAAACCATAGAGCAGCAAACCTGAACATGAAGGGAGGACAGCAGGGGATTCACAAAGTAATGTAGCGTACGTAACACAGAGGATGAACACAGACGATGCGACGAGGTGCACAGGCAGACACGCAGTGTAAATGCACACACCAGGTAATTAGGAAATGGCAGACAGGCGGGGACACAGCTGGAACTAATGGACATAACGAGACAAAGTAAAACAGGAAACAC